CTCAATGCTAATGCTAAATAGCATCTGTGTCGCAGCGCTTTAACACTTAAAGCTGCGGACTGAGCACAAATCATGCCGGGTCACATCGATAAACGGTATAATTTTTCACGATCTACTCCGAGTCATATATTCCTTATCCTCCACATAGAACATCTAATATTAATGTCGTACGGATGAGCAGAGAGAGGAGTTTAGACATCTCAATGAACCGTTCTCTATCCACGTTCACGGAATGCACATCCGATTGATTAAGATGCACGAAGTCCCCCACTGAAGGCCCAGGCGCTGTAACAAATGCATCGCCCTCCACTAGCTCGTGTGATGTCATGCTTCTTCAAGTTCAAGGACATCAACAAAGGCAGGAAGACCAACATCATCGACTCCATGCTGCGGATGCTGGAGCAGTACTCGTCCAACCTGGAGGAGCTGATCCGAGAGCGAACCGAGGAGCTGGAGATCGAGAAGCAGAAGACGGAGAAGCTCCTGACGCAGATGCTGCCTCCGTGAGACGTCGCGCGCTGTCATCGTGTCGACGTAACGCGGACACCTCGGATCATGATTGTGCCGATCTGCCCTCGCTCCACAGATCCGTGGCAGAGGCGCTGAAGATGGGCGGCACCGTGGTGCCCGAGTATTTCGACAGCGTGTCTCTCTACTTCAGCGACATCGTGGGCTTCACCACCATCTCGGCCAACAGCGAGCCGATCGAGGTGGTCAACCTGCTCAACAGCCTCTACACGCTCTTCGACGCCATCATCGGCAACCACGACGTATACAAGGTGCCGCCGCTGTGCCGACCCTATCCCCGGGTAACATCCACATCGTCTTCTCAAGTCTTTCTCAACCCCACGCAGGTGGAGACGATCGGCGACGCCTACATGGTCGCATCGGGCGTCCCCGTTCCCAACGGCAACCGGCACGTGGCGGAAATTGCCAACATGTCCCTCGACATCCTGAGCGCGGTGGGAACCTTCAAGATGAGACACATGCCCGATGTTCCCGTCAGGATCCGCATTGGACTGCACACAGGTGGATGAAAACCCCCGAGAAATATATTTATAGTTGCTACATAAAAATATGAAATAGTAAATAGTAAAATTAAAATCGGAAAGGTCCAGTGAATTTGGTTGCATAATTTTTGAGGCTGTACTTTGCCCTAAAATTTGATTTCATTGCAATATTTCATCAATGATTTTAGGAATTTTTAGTTTGAAATCAAAAGATGTCAAATTATGGGACTGAAGTTGTCTTGCCTTGTTGACCTTTGACTTTGATGTCAGCCTTGACAAAATATGTACTTCCGCTTAAGATTCGGACTATTTTTGTTGACAAAATGTCCCCCCCCCCCCCAAATTATGAATTTGTCGTAACATTTTGCTTTTTCTGCTGACAAAATTGTTTTTAATGCCGACGTCATTTTGTTGGACGGGTCTTTGTGTTGTTTATCTTCCTGTCACCACGACAACACACTGTGTGTTTGCGCGCTCCGTAGGTCCATGCGTAGCGGGAGTTGTCGGTCTCACCATGCCGCGCTATTGCTTATTTGGAGACACGGTGACCACCGCCTCCCGCATGGAGTCCAGCGGCCTGCGTAAGTGTCACGGATGCACTTTTTGTCCATTTGGCGCCTCTTCTTTCTTCTTTATTTTGGCCTCCTGCAGCCTACAGGATCCACGTGCACCAGAACACAGTCCAAGTCCTGCGTGAGCTCAACCTGGGCTACAAACTGGAGCTGAGGGGAAGGACAGAAGTGAAGGTGTGACGCTGCCAGCGCATGAACTGCTCAGCCGCCATCTTCTGATTTCTTCTTCTCCTTTAGGGGAAAGGAACAGAAGAGACCTATTGGCTTGTTGGGAGGGACGGATTCGCCAAACCTCTTCCTGTCCCTCCGGAGCTCAAATCGGGGTAGGAATGATCCGCTTGTGTGCACCACGCCCGCGTTGACGCCGCCGACTTTCTCCCATCAGGCAAATGGCCCACGGGCTGCAGATGGCCGAGATAGCGCAGCACAAAAAGCGGCAGGCCGAGAAGCAGCAACAGGAACAACTCGCAAAGAAGAAAAACTGAGGTAATGTGATGCATTCGCAAAAAAAGTGTACAACAGTGCTGGCGTGGTTGGGAATGGTGGCAAAGATAGTTTGGGCAAACTATTTCACGGGGGAATCACAATTTTGCAGTTGCTGATTGGGAAGCGAAACTCAGTTCGTCTCCTTTACGGGGTTAAAAATGCTTTCTTTGTCGCTTGCGTCACATTTGAATCTCAAACAAAATGGATACTTTTGTTGATCGAACTCCCAATTCATCGGCATTCTTCCTCTTCTTCAGCACGGCCAGCAAAGAGGCAAAGGGCCTCCGTGTCGTCCGTCATGCAGCTGTGCGAGGACGACATCGTCACGATGCCGCGTCACTGAGCGAGTGTCCCCCAGCTGTGCCAGTGGTGGAACCTCGGGTTGCATTCTGGGGTCAAACGTTTCTCTGTGAACACTCGGGTGAAAGTTGGGATGAGCGTCAGCCGACTTGTCAGCTGCTATGAATAGAAGAGGAGCGACTCAGCAAAGCGGGGATCTGCCTGTCAGTCACCAACGGACGAAAGCGGCTTATCGTCTCGGTTCTTCTTCAGGCTCCTTTTCCTTTTCTCTGGTAAACAAATCGGCAGGGGTGGGGCTGGGGGGGGGGACTTCTCTTTTAACTCCACGTAGTGGTAAAAGTTATCTGACATTACGTCTTTGCAGGGGACTAGATGACTAACTAAATACAAGCCAAACCAAAAAATAATGTTAAAAAAATGCAAACAAGACGCAGCATTTTCTTGCGGCCAAGAGTAAATGGTTTCTTTAAATTGCAGCCTTCCTCATGTTGACAATCTTTTATGCTCAGCCATCCCTTTGTGTGCGTGCATGCGCGTGTGTCTAGTTCCTGCAAGTGGCGCTCTTGTGCGTTTGCACATACAGGGTCTTAAATTTGGACCTGGAGGGGACAGTGAGCTGGGGATTTCCAGAGGGATTTACACTGATGGCGTTCGGTTTAGGGGCCAGGCATGGTATGGATTATCATATAGTCACAAGTATCAAAGTATATTGAGAAGTGGGAGATGCCCTTTCCAGATTCGATGCGTATTATACCTAGGAATGTGATTCTATCAAGGATATTTCATATAAATAGCACATAATAAATCAGAAAGTTGAGCTTCTAACTTCCTGCTGCAGTGCATGTCGACTCATTGGTCACTTCATGATATACACCTCCACACCTTATGATGATTGATTAATTATAATCAATGAGCCTCGGCATTATTATTATTTAACGTGAAAGGAAGCTAGAGGTACCGAACAAAACACAAACCAGGCTACCCAAGTTTTGGACTAATTAGTTGGAACAGGATCGTTTCCATCGGCCACGGGAAATGCGACTATTGGGTCTTTTAAATGCTAAAACTTCGAACCAAAGTTGAGATAAATCCCAAAGTGAAACGCCAACAACAACAGCAGCAGTGTTGCGACTGTGCTTGCACTGAATTAGCCGAGTGAACAAAGGCATGCTTGCTCTCCTTTGTGTGTGTGCGCGCGCACGCGCGTGTTCATGTTTGTGTTCGCTTTGTTGACGATTCTTTTGTTAGCAGTACGGTACAGTATTGTAGCACTTACTGCAATGCACAGTCCTCACCAGCAGAGGACGCCCTGACAAGGAGCGTTTTCCATATTGAACTTGTTGGCCTCTTTAGTTTGCATTTTAGAGAGTGTGTGTGCGCGCGCGCGTGTGTATAATACACTAGTAATACCAATAATATTTAAAATATAATAATAATAATAATAATTTTTAAGTTGTCAGAGCAGTTCAAGTCCAATATTGACTTGATAGATTGCTGCCATTATTTCGCACCAGTGTCTAAAGCACATGTAAAGGGGAGACATTTCACACTTGTAAGCACTGGATGTGAGTAACACAATATTATGTGTCCGGTTGTTTCTCAAGACGGTCACGAAAGGTCGGACTTCTTTGGAGTAACAAGAAAGAGACCTTGCCTTGAAATGCGTCTGATGATTCATGAGGGTTACATCCTTTGTCATATAGTTAATTATTCACCTTGGACGCAGCATATAAAACTTTAATTTTGAAAGTTAAACGATACTCAGATGGACTATGATACAATGCCGCAAACAGTTTTTCTTCCGGCTGCACTGTTTTCATCAGTACATGTACAGTGTGGATGGAAGATTTTTGTCTAATTAGATGTAAGCCTTTGTGCTGCCGTGTCCAGTCAAACTGCCCCCAAGCTTTCAAAATCAGTTTTGTTGGCAGATGTGACCTTGGTGCTTCTTCAGTCAAATTTCAAATATGATTCCCATAAACGTCCACATTTTTCTGTCCTCTGATTGGTTAATTAGAGCAGTACAAGTTCTACGAGCAAAACGTGTGTGTACCTATCTGCACTCGAGTACATTTAATAATAAGCATCTCTGGTTAGTATGGTGTCTTTATTTATTTTATGTTTTATTGTGTTAATAGATTGATATTGATGCTGAACTGAATTTTTGTCACAATATTGATGGTTTTTATTGTAATGTGATAGTGGAGTAAGTCAGGTAATGCGAGGCCCTCTACCGTGTTACAACAACGAGGGTTAAGCACGAAAATAAGAAAAAAAACAAAGTAAATTATCAAGTCGTTTTCTATTGCTATACTTTCGAAGTCAAGATTTTAGGTTTGTCAGCAGGTGTGAGATCAGTTTTGAACATCCCAACAGCTCTCTGGCAACGTTCAGATCCCATTCGAAATAAGCCTCAAAGTTGACGCCTATTTTTAAACACAGTGAAACTTTGTGTTCTGTGATTGGTCACTGCTAATGACGCAGGCCATGTTGTTCTTTTAACAATTGGTCGAGATGTCTATCATGGTTTGTCACTCACAGTAGTGGGCCAATCAAACACTGCTTTCGGGAGCTTTGAGCCAGCCTATTGCTCGTGACGTTTGTGATCACGTGTTGTTTGTGCTGTGGCCGCTCGACTTGTGTACAGGCGGAGAAGGGAGCGAGTTGCTAACAACTAGCCGGAGAAACGCGATTGAACGTGGCCATGCTGCACACGGTAGGCTTCATCTCTTAAAACAGGGCCGAGTGCAATAGCTGTTTTGATGGCACAAGGGCGAAGGGACACTTTTTCAAAAACTAACTAACTAAATAAAAATAAAAAACACCGCCGCTCGGCGAATTGTGCAAATCTGAGCCGTGCATTAGCTGGCCTAGCCGGACTCGGGCACTCGTCTCCCTACACAAGAATGGGGTAGTGGTCCACTTGGATTAGCTTACAAGTAAAGTGACCTTTGAATGCGTTCTCCGATGGCAAATTTCACGAATTATCAGGAAGGCAAGGCAACGAAGTTGATGCTGGAGACGCAGCAGAGAACCGTGGGGTCCAAATCTGCCGACGCAAACGTAGACGGCTCGGTCAGGGAACCCCCTTCCCCGATAATTAACATCAGCGGTGGAGGAGGGGGAAGCGGCGGCGGATTTCGTTCCCATCAGTTGCCGCCCTCCTACCACCACCACCTTGAGTCGTATCACTACGAGCTGGCGTCGCATCATCATCTTCACCATCTCTCCGCGGATGTCGCCGAGTCCCCGGGCAAAAAATCGTCCTCCCCGGTGGAGCAAAGCAGCAGCAGCACCACCACCACCACCAGCAGCAGCAGCAGCGGCCTTGCGTACGAGACTGGCGGCTTGTCAAACCCACCGGATGCAGTGGACGACATTCGAAAGTGTGGCTACCTGCGCAAGCAAAAGCACGGACATAAGCGCTTCTTCGTGCTTCGCGCCTCCAGCCACCTGGGTCCCAGCCGTCTGGAGTACTACGACAATGAGAAGAAATTCCGGAGCACCTTGCGCGGGGGAGCCGGCCCGGTGGGCCCTTCCTCCCCAAAGAGGGTGATTTACCTCTACCAATGCTTCACTGTTAACAAGAGGGCAGATTCAAAAAACAAACACCTCATTGCCCTTTACACTAAGGATGAGTACTTTGCTATTGTGGCGGAGAGTGAGCAGGACCAGGAGGACTGGTACGTGGCGATCAGTGAGTTGATGAACGAGGGCAGAAAGGGGCATTTAATTACGGATGACTTAGATGATGGATATGGTACGGTCACCCCTGGCACCGTTTTCAAGGAGGTGTGGCATGTGAACGTCAAACCCAAAGGACTCGGTCAAACTAAAAACCTCACAGGCTTGTATCGCCTATGCCTCTCATCCAAAACCCTTCACCTGATCAAGCTGAACTCGGAGACCCCCTGCGTGAACCAGCACCTGATGAACATCAGGCGCTGCGGAAACTCTGAAAGCTTCTTTTTCATCGAGGTGGGCCGCTTCTCGTCGATTGGGCCGGGGGAGATATGGATGCAGGTGGATGACTCCGTGGTGGCGCAGAAAATGCACGAGACCCTCCTCAATACCATGAAGGCTCTGAAGGCATATGTGGAGGTCAGGCCCCGGAGTAAGAGCCAGTCGTCGGGCTCCAACCCCATGCCGTTTGTCACCACGCACCGCCACCTGAGCAACCTCCCGCCAAGCCAGACGGGCCTGCAGCGGCGATCCAGGCTGGAATCTGTGGTGGGAACGCCGCCGTCCAGTAAGAGCTCGGGTGCCAGCGGTTACCGCTTCCGCACATCCAGCGAGGGGGAGGGCACCATGAGCCGGCTGTTTCGTTCCACCACGGGAAGCTTGGTCCACCTGAATTCAGGGCGTCCTCATCTTGGCCGCGCCGAGGGGGATCAGGCAGGCAGCGGCGGCGTTGCGACGGGAAACGCCAGCACGGGCGCCGGCGGCGGGCGCCATGTGCGGGCCATCCCGGGGTCATCGGCCTCGAACTACCACGCCCGCTCCGCCTCCCTCCCAGTGTCCCACCCTTTCACCACAAGCCCGGTGAGCGTGTCCTCCAGCAGCGGCCACGGTTCTGTCTCAGACACGCTCACCCGCCCATCCAGCGCTTCGATATGTGGCTCTCCATCCGACGGTGGCTTCAACTCCTCCGACGAGTACGGATCCAGCCCCGGTGACTTCAGGTACTTCAGGGTGCGCAGCAACACCCCCGATTCCCTGGGCAACACCCCGCCAATCAGAGAGGAGAACTGCCTGAGTGACTACATGGCCGTGGGCTGGAACAGGGACGTGTTTGGCACCAGCGCCGGCTCCGGGAACAACAGCGGCGCCAACACACCGCGAGACGAGAGCACGTCGACGGCCGAGGACGAACGTTTTTTTTCGCACAGGAGGAGGAGAAGCGCCGGACCCGGAGTAGCCGTTTATCAAAAAATGACTCAAACCAATTTTTCGTCGGAAGAAGGGGCCGACGCGTTGGGCAGCTCCTGCTCCGAGCACAGCCAGCAGAACCGGTCCTCGACGTTGCTCTCCTCCACCAAGGAAGATAGCGGCTACGTGCCCATGTTGCACGGCGTGGCTCCGTCGCCGAGAGACACGCCTCCCGACTACATGCCCATGCATCCCAGCTTTCATACGGTTTCCCACCCCCATCAATTTCAGAGCCCAACTTTGGGCCCGCGCTCGGCCAAGCCCCAGTCGCAGTCCTCCATCGACACCCACGGCTACATGATGATGCTACCGGGATGCCGCGGCAGCTCTCCTTCCCCGGTTCAGGCCTCCCTCAGCCCCCACGGTGGCTCCAGCGCGGCGGGTGCGAGCGGGAGCGACGGCATCGCGGAGAGACCCGCGAATGCGGGCTACATGGACATGTTGTGCACCAGCAGTACGGGGCAGAAGTCGGAAGGCGGCAGCGCGTCCTACGGCGCCGACGCCTGGAGGTCTTTCAGCCCTTATTTTTCTCTCCCTCGCTCCTACAAGGCGCCCACCAGAGAGAGCGATGAGAAGGAGTGCGACGACTACGTTCCAATGGCTTCTCTGGCCAAGGCGGTCCACTCGTCAGTTGCCACGGCTTCCCTGTCCACACCTGAGAGGGGCGGCGGCGGCGGTTGCACTTCCACACCCTCGCACCCGCCCCCGCCTTACGGAGCCCACCACACCACAGCCGCCATGGCCGACGGGCGCGTCGTGAGACCCAACCGCCTCCCTTTAGGCAGGAGAAGTTTCCACGGTCTGCCGCGAGTCAGTGAACCCCCCACCTCATCCGCACTTGCCTCCACCTCGGCCCCCACGGCCGGGCCCTCAACTGGGAGGCCCTCGAGTCCCGGAGAGTATATCAACATCGACTTTGGTGATCATTACCCCCGCCAACAGCAGCCACCCGCCTACGTGCTTTCCACCGACGATGAAGCCCCCGCCCTGGCATCCGGCGACCACCGGCGAACCCCTCCCTTGCCCCAAACCAGTCAAGACTACATGAGCATGGAGGTGGGCCGTGACCATCAGGATAGCGACGGGTGTCTAGATAAGAGCCAGTCACCTCGACCCAGCCTGGTGGCCCCCTGGAACCCGCCCAGCTATATCCGACCCTTGGCTAGCAATCCCGCCGCGCCGGCCTCCCCCGGCGGGGTCCACGCTGGAGGTCACTGGAGGTCAGCGGGCGACGACTACACGAATATGATATACAGCAGGAAGGGCGAAAGGACTCCAGCGAGCCCCACTGACATGCTGCAGCATCTCTGCGTGATGGAGGGATGCTACGGCCACGGTTCCTCCTCCATACCCCCCACGCTGCCCCCGAGGAGCCCAGCGAGGGCATCGCCGCACCCCCTGGAGCCGAAGGTCGTCCGCGCCGACCCTCAAGGCAGGAGGAGACACAGCTCGGAAACCTTCTCCTCCACCTCCTCCTCGACTTCAACGCCTTCCGGGGGACCATCTTCCGCCACCCACTTGACGCCGGTGGACCCCTCGACCTCAAACGGTTCACACGCACCTGAAGTCCAAGCCTCCAGATGCGCCGGCTTGGCGTCCTTCGACAGCGTGTGGATGTCTGTGGAAAGCCGCGGGGACCCGCCAGTTGACCGAGCTCCGGTTGGCTCATCAGACCCGGGCGTGGCAACCGGCGCCCCGGCATCCTCCTCGACCCCGACCAGCAGAATGTACGGAAGCAACACGTCTGTGGGATACCAAAATGGCCTCAACTACATCGCCTTGGAGGTGAGAGATGTCGGGAGCTGTGCGGACGCAACCCCGGCGACGGGCGTCGCCGAGAGCTCCACGATGCCAGAGAACGGGGCCTACGCCAGTCTAGACAAATCAGACGGTGTCTCCATGACAACCGAGGGTGAGTACATGCGTTCGTGTGTGTGTGTGTGTGTGTGCGCGCCTGCTTTTGAAATGGAAACTTTCTTGTTTGTGTGGAGAAGCAAGACTGAGAGGAAATTGGGGGCATAGAAGCGTGTTTTGAGACCCCACCGCCATTTTTGTGAACCTTATCTGCCAAACCGGCAAAGATGGGCCAAAACAGGCGAGCGAGCAGGTGTGGCATACGTACGTTGAAATGAAAGTGTGGCCTAACCTTAAACTTCTTGAAAATAAATGATCGGTTGCCTCAGTGCAACTCTTGCAATATTATTATGTTGTGCATACTAACACGATCAAAGACCCCGGTGTAGACGCAAAGGACTTGCTAGCTCCCGTTTTACTGCTTTTAGTTTAAGGTATCGGGTTCTTATGCAGGCTGCCGATACTAGCCAGTGATACTTAAGGCAAAAAAAAAAAAAAAATTAAATCTAACATCGAGTAAATCCTCCTTGGCAGTGGTTGGCGCTTCACTGCAATCGTTTGACACATCGGCGTATCATCATCATCTGCGTCAGAAAAAAATCGGCTGAAAGTTTTGCTTTGCGGGTTTATGATTGGCTAAAATGTCCCGCTGGCAAGCGCGTGACAACAAAAACTCGAACCACCTTTAAAACTCAAACCGCTCATCTGTCTGCGCTTAATTCCAAACAATAATGTGAAAACGGTTTAATATCAATTCAAAGCAGTTTTAAAATATTCCAAAATGAAGACGACCGTTCTATCGGACGGGCGTGCGCGGCTGTCGGCTGTTTGCGCACGATGCGTCGTGGCTTCCGTCCTCCCTCGGTCGAGTTCACGTCCTCGGCAAATGTGCGATGGCGGGCACGAGTCGCGATTGTTCGAGCAAGCGATCGGCGTGCGATCGGCGTGCGCTCGGCCACCGTGTGTGTGAGTCACGGCCGCCGACGCTTTGATGTCATCGTCGCGGCGGGGGCCGGGAGGAACGGCATCATCTCTCGGGAATGCGCTTTGCTCTCAGCTGCGGTATGGACGTGATGGCAGCACACCTGGTTCGTTTATAGCGCGGGGGGGTGGGGGGGCGTCTTTTAGCCGTTGCATCTGGAGCGCTAAGGAAGCAGTGTGGGAAGATGCCCTTTTCTTTGCGGAGTGGATATGGGGCGATAAAGGGTTAGCGGGAGTGCACGGTGGATTGTCGCTGGGGTCAGGGGAGATGTCGGAGAAAGGTGTGTGTGTGTGTGTGTGTGTGCGTGTGTGTGTGTGTGTGTGTGTGTGTGTGTGTGTGTGTGTGTGGCCTTTTTGCTCTCACGTTGCCACCTATACGGTCAGCGGCCTTCTATATTTACACGTCTATTTCCAGGCTGATGTGAATTTATGGGCGTGCTTGTAACAAGACCTCCATTTCCTCTCAGAGTGCTCCCAAGGGTTTCACAGACGGAATTATCCGTCACATAATATACTGTGTGTGTGTGTGTGTGTGTGTGTGTGTGTGTGTGTGTGTGTGTGTGTGTGTGTGTGTGTGTATAGATATCTATCTATCTATCTATCTATCTATCTATCTATCTATCGATCTATCTATAGCATTTTCCTGGCATCCCATTGGCTAAGAGGGACCTCAACCGGAGGTATCTATCTAGGTAAATAGATAGATAGCTGTGTGTATATGCAGCGTCCTCGTCACTGGCCCCTCCGGTTATGAGGCGTTGCGATAGTTTTACGTAAATGTGAGTCACCCAGAAAAAGTGTTTTATCAGTCGGGCAATGGCTCACTATGCTGATGTTTGTGGGGCTTGGAACGGATTAGGGCATTTGCATGGAAAACGCGTCTCTACTTACATTTTCTAGTTGAGAAATTTCTTGCAGAACCTATTAATTTCCTAAGTCGAGGTACCATTGTATATGTGTATATATTATTTTCCACCTTTGCTATCACTCTGCCGAGGCGTCGCGAGTCCGGCCTCCCGTGCAGACGGGCTCGCCGGCATTCCAGCCGTGCCGCCCGCTAAAGCGTCCGTATTGTGGCGCCCCCGCTGGCATTGTTGTCAGACAAAAGCCTCGCTTTCGGTGGAATATCCCAGCTGCACGGTCGCCGTCGCCAGGGGTCACACCGGGCACGAGCCAAAGTCCACCGGCCGCATTCCCTCGTTTTACCAAAGATACACCCGACTCACAAAAAAGTTCGGGGTGTTGTGCTTCCGTTGAATGTCTCTTTTAAAAGCGGCTATAAGATTTTGTCCTCCTCTAAACTCGTGAGTGCTCATGTCCATCCATTCAGTGTTTGAGTACGACTTGCTGTTGTTCCTCAGGGCAATGCAATTGAGACAGAGAGACTGGGAGAGTCACAGAAAGGCAGAGAAGTGCATGCGCTTGGATTAAAAAAGAAAAACGGTGTGAATTCTGCCGTTCATCTTCTTTTTCGATGTATTTGCATATTGCTGAATAGAAGAAAAGTCCTACATAACCCCGCCCCCGCCCCAAAATGGAATAAGCATCTTCATAAAAACTCCCGTGAGTAATCAGTTTGTGTGTCTTCACAGACTGAGCAGCAGGAGCGACAGAGGAGGGCCCCCCCCCCCCCCAAAAAAAACCGGGACTG